GGTTTTGCCCGCCCCCCCCCGCCCCGGGCGTCCCCGCCCCGGCGGCTGCCTCCTTCCTCCGGCGGCGGAGCGGGGCGGCGGGGGAGCCCCACGGGCCAGCCCGCCCGGGCAGTGCCGCCCGGCGCTTTTCGGGCCAGAGCGTACAGACGGGCAACTGGACGGAGTTCAGTTAGGGGCGCGTTACACCGGGAACTGCTGCAAATCAGGGTGTAACAGGCAAAAACAATTACAACAGGCTGATGCTTCGAGAGCGCTGCTTAATGCCCCTAAGTAAGCCATTCTAATTATAGCAAACAGTTAGGATTAAGGGGGAGGGAGAAAAACTCTGTTATTTACAAACTGTTTTGTACTTGGCCTCCCTTGCAAATCCTCTTGGGCGAAAGAGTTAATCGGAGCCTCAAAGGAGCCGGCTCTCCCCGACGGCTCCGGGCTCTCCCTCCCTCCGCCGCTGCCGCCGCCGCCGGGGCGCACGGCAAACCCGGGGAGTAACCGCGGAAGGACTCGGGCTTCGCTGCAGAGGCAGGGACACCCCCTCACTCCGTGCCAAAGGCCCCCTCCGGAGAGCCGGCGGGCGGCTGCTTACCTTCAAGCGGAGGCAAGTCTGGCTGCTTGCGAGCGGGCTGGGCAGAGCCGTCCTCTGCCGCCGCCGGAAAGCCCGGGTCCCCGCGGAGGCTCCGCCGGGCGCGGAGCGGGGCGGTCGGTGCTGCGCCCGGAGAGGGGGGATGCGCCCTCCAGGGCCATGCGCTTCTCTTATATAGTCGGCACCGGCGTACTCATTTGAGTAGTATCGACTTTAGGTGGGTGGCAGTCGATGGAGACACCTCTGGTAATCACTCTTGGGCTCAGAGAAGGTCTTTTCTGACAAACTTCCTCCTCCCCGTTTGTCCCCCGGTGGATGGCAACTGAAAGCTGCATTTGAAGTGGCTCTGATCTATTTGCGAAATTAGATTTCCCTGAAGATTGGGAAACGCTTACTAATAAAGCTGCCGGCTCAAGAGATTAAAATGTGCTTTAACTTAGCGGGATTCCCTTGAGAATATAGCAAGAGAACTATTTTTTCCCCTTTTTCTTGCTGAACAAAGAAGTCGTGAGCGAAGTCTGAAGTGTGTTTAAATTTGGTTCTGTTTTGATGGCAAGGAAAATGGTAGACTGTCTTTAGCGTGTGAATTCACAAACTAGAGACCTTGTAAAAGTTTGTTTCTCCAAAATATTTTTTTTAATTTTTGACAATGAGACTTAATTAAAAGCTAGCAAAAAACGTCCTGACCTAATGACACCATTAATCCCACAGGTTAAAAAACTTGCCTCTTAGAGCCATAAATATGTAAGCAAATAATTAGTGAATGAGATCTCAACTTTTAGAGAGTAGTGCATACCGGTGGTCTGGGTGTAGATTGAAAAGCCATACAAATTTTTAAAATTATACCAGACAATAGTTCACATTATGACAGAATTTGCAAGTATAACTCATTGAGATATTTACTTAATAAGAGTAGGAGAAAAAGAAAAAGGATTTGAGATATCCTTAAATATGTGAAAATGGGGAATTTAGATTTGAAAGAGATTTAAACTATTCTGCATCTGTCTGACATACGACATTTTGCTACAAACTCTGTCTCTTTCCCAAAACTCTGTCATTCATACCCTTCTCTGGTTATCTCAGGCAGAGCACACTCAGGGCTGTATCTCACAGGGGCTACGTCATCGCTGGCGATGGGAAGCCAGCTTCTTCCCCACATCCTCCTACTCTTGTGCCATCCTCACTCACCTTTGGGGGGCTGATGCCACAGAGATCAGGGATCAAACCAAATTTAACTAATGAAGGGCTGCAAAGGTTTTGTCACACAATTTTTTGAGAGGTCAGTGTACTGCACTAGATAAACTGGTCTGGCCTGTGGGTTCCCAGGGTAATAGAAGGGAACTGTCAATCTCTTTCTCACGACATGATTTCCTGCTTTTACCTCTTTATTGGGGGCATATAAGGAGTTTTCTTTGGTCAAGCTGACCGTTAGGTTGAGTGACGAGGAAAAGGGAGAGCAGTGATAAGCTGAGAAATAAAGCAGCATATTAGTTTACCAGGTCCAAAACAAATCCCAAAGCTTCTCTCCATTTGCTTTTTGCTTGTTTGCTTTTATTTTGCCCACAGAGACACATATTGCCACAACAGAATGGGACTGAATTCTCCTCTAGAAATGACCAAAGTATTGCCTTGACTCAAGCTCCTCTGCCCACCTTCATAACTAGTCATAGATTAGATTTACATCTTCTTCTAGCCCTGGGACCAGGTCACACGGGAAGGAAATCTATGTGGCACTGTTAAGATGGAATAATTTTTCTGCTTATAAAAAAAACAAAGTCTTTTTTGGGTGTCTGTTCAAGGCCAACAGCAGTATACTCATAAGAATTAAAAGCAATATTGCAAAAGGCAAGCGAATAGCCCCTCTTCTCTCCCCCACATCCCCCAAAAAGATCTAAGAGGTCTGCAAACTGCTAAAGCTGGCTATGAAATCTTGATGAGCAACATCCTGGAGCTGCTAGTTTGGGAAAGTTTGTGACTCCGTGAGCAATGATTATCAAATACGTCGCTCACATTCAGTGAGTTTCTAAGATACAAATACCATTACAAATACTAAGGCCATTAGATTTTATTCTTTAACTTACATGTGGAGGATTTAGAGTTTTAAAGCTTTGTATCAGAACCCAACTAGGCCCTTTACCATTATGAGCCACACAGTTTTACCCTTCTCCTTTACCTCTGATGTCACTTGTTTCTCTCCTTTGGAAGAGCTGCATCCTTCTCTCCTTGGATTGACATTATACCCATCCAAAGGGCAATAAACTGTTTTTTAATTACTGTTTTACATTAAACCAAACTGACAAGTTGCTTGCTTCATTTGTTACCAGGACTTTTTTTTTTTTTTTACTTTTTTTTTTTTAATGTTATCCTTTGTGTATTTTCGAAAGAATGAACAAGAAGTCAAGGAAACAAGAAAGTGGGTGTCCCTGCAGAGCAGCTTGAGAGGCAGATCTATGAGGCCCTGAAGTTACTGCAATGATTCCCATTCACTGCTGCAGGAGTTGGAGCAAGCCTTAACATGAAAAGGACCAATTAGAGTCACAGCACATCTAAATCACAAGTTTTAAGTAGCTTTTTCAGATTCTTTCTATGCCCAAGAATCTTAAAGACTTATTTAAAAACAAAACAAAACAAAAAAAGATTTGTTTTCTATTATTGCACAAAGCTTTGTCTCTTTTTAAATTGTTTTGATATTTGAATTCTTCAGAGAGCACTTGAAAGAATGGCAACCAGAGTACAACCAGAGGAAGATGACTGCTTTACTAATCCCAGGCAATTCTGGCAGGTTGAAAACCCATTCTCAGGCCACAGTTATATTGGCGCTTTTGTTTGCAGCTCTAATGTGCCTCCTCATCATTATATGGAGAAGGAACCTCAGCGTGAGATTTACATCAAAGAGAACATCTTAAGACTGCACTCAGTATCTTATTTAGGAACTGAAAACCTGTTCGTAGTGAGCCTAAATAAGTCTGGTTATTTTCTTGTTGTAGGCAATGGATTTAAACAAGTACATCACATTTGTTTCCTGTGGCATGTTCTTTTTATTTTCTGATCTGTCTTAGCCACAGGTCTATGTCTGATTGAAGTTAAAAGCAAACTAGTTAAATCAAAGTATCATAGGGCTGACAGGGACTTGGAGAGATGATCTAGTGCTTTCCATTGCCCAAGGCAGAGCCAACTCTACCTATGTCATCAGGGCTCAGTAAAAAACCCAACTTTAATTTTTCCCATCAAGCTCAACACTTCAACCCAAATCCGTTAAATGAACAGTTGGTAAATGTTGGTTTAGTAGTGACATTTTACGTCGGGATTTACACTGAAATATAAAAATTATCTAAATGTATTCCCAAAGCACACAGTCAAATAAGACAGGCTAAAGCAGATTCAAAATTTAAGTGTCTCACTGTTTTTAAATAAATCTGTCAGCCAAAGATTTCCGTGGCCACTCAGCTAAATCAAGAAGAAAAACAGAGAGAAAACCTGGTTCTGTTGAAGTCCATGGGAATTTTCCTGTTGACTTTGTTGAGCTGGGATTTAATGCAGGTTTGTTACTAAAGGAGAGCTGAGGAAGTGAAAAATTACCTCAAAAATATTAATGTATTAGCCAAGGCAGTAATTTATAGATGGCTGCTGTAATTTCTGATAAGTAACAGAGGATTCCAGCTGGTTTTCAGATCACACTATTTCCTTAAAATCAGAATCCTGCCTCAGTGCCGAGGACTTGATCAGATGATCTCTTGAATATCTTTTGCAGGCCTTTATTTCTATGAATCTACAGATTTTTTTGCAAGCAGCTTCTAAGGTACAGAACATGCTAATGACAGTGAAAGGCCATACAGTTAAAGAAGTAAACCAGTATTACTAAAAGTGATATGAGAATCAGTGTACCTATATATCATAACTTAAAACTTAGTCCATCTCATAACTTGATGCTATTTTTTCCTGCATTTTTTTGTAGAAATACCACAGCAGAGAATTGTGGGATGTTCTTAACTGAATTTTAGGTAGCAGCTTCAAATATTTATTCCATGACATAAAGATCATTGTCTTTCCAATTAAAAAATAGAAGATAAGTTTTATTATTACAAATATATGTAAATATTTTTTACTACAGAGCAATAATGATCTTTACTGGCTTTATCATTAAGAAATTCTACGCTGAAGTCACCACCATTTGGGTTTGGGGGGCATTTTGCACCTACAGTTAAGACATAAGGAGACATTTTTGGAGGACCTTTGGCTCACCGTGCTCTGGAAGGCTCAGCTGGAAGCATGAAGCAGCTTCTGACTGAGATATTTCAAGAAAAAACCCGAAAACTAACCTACATCAGCAGGAAGCAAAGAGGGGATAGAGGAGAAAGTTGGGAGAAGGAGAGTCTGGTAGAAGTGTGCAATAAGTCCTTCTTCCTCCTTTTATTTTTCCTGAAACAGTTTCAGTAGTGGAGGTTTTGCTCCTGCACCACCTGAATGACTGTCTGCCGCTGGGGCTATTCAGCTGAAGGAGGCATACAGGAGAAACTACCAATTTCAAGAGTAGAGCCTGGGTCTATAGATGTTATTTCACAACAGTCTAATCCAAATAGTTTGTCTCTTAGGCCAATTAGTATTGGGAACATAACAGCAAGAAATGAACATTGCTTGCCTTTTAAATTGTTCCCTGGACAAGATCTTCTGCAAAGTTTCCAAAAACGAAAAATGGAAAGACTTTAAGACCCAGACAGATTTTGCAGGATCCAAGAGTGGTGTACTGAGGAGAACAGGTCTCGAGGGCCAAGCAATAACCAGTCTGACCAAAGGACCCTTTTGAACTATTTGCAGTCCTTCACAAACGTTGTGCCATGGATGGTTTGAAAGGAATTATTTGTATTACGATGACTGTGAAGACTGACAGTTTCTTAAAAAATCTCCAATAGTTGCTTGGTTTATGGTCAGCTTCTGATTTTGACCAGAATTGCATTTAAGAAGGAAGTAGCAGCCCCCACCAAGAGTCCTGCAGCAGGCACCTGCTGTTATCTTACCCCATCATCAAATGAAAAATAGGTACCTGTCCTGGTTTCACCTGGGATGGCTAGATGGGTTTAAACCACGACAGTACTGCATATTCCCACTGGTTTGAGTCTTTCTCTTTTGAACCCAGTCCTGGATTCTCAGCTGTGTCGGATGTACCGCAGAAGACAAAGTCCTGTTTCTAAGCTAATGACAGTTTATTACACCTGTCATTATAGCTGTTAAAATAATTAATTTACAGATGCAGTGGATCAAAAATAAATCTCTTGCCTGACATAGAAGACATCTTCACCATGTGCCCTTCATGACAGCAGACAGGACCTGACACCACCAAAAAGCTGACTGGTGACCAGAATAACTGTGCGTATGACATGGGTTCCTTGAAAAGCTCTGTCTGGCCAGCATGAGGACCATCATCTAAACAGACAGATCAGTTTCCTTTCAACAAAACCAAAAACTGAGTGGCATTTTCAGGGCTTGGCAGCTAGGGCAATATCAACCAGAAGACCTTACGTTGAAATCCTGGAGCGTCTGATTCAGAAAAAAAATGTTTAATATCCTCTCACAGTGAGAGACTTCAATCAGGGGAACCTGGACCTAGGGATTTTTGGAGAGAAAGGTTCAATGGCAGCCTTCACTGCAGATGGAGAGTCACTGCAGGGGTGCTGCTTTAGAGCAGCCTGAGTCTAGAGCTCACTCACCCCTTCTGCTGAGGTAATAATTTTTAAAAGAAAGAAAATTTTGATGGAAATGTCCTGTTAGTGATGAAAGAGGAGGCATGAAAAGTTTTAGAAAAAATGAACTGTAGGGACCACCCCAAATGAGAAAGTCAGCCAGCTCAGGTTCATGCCACCTCCAGCACACAAGTTCAGACATTAGATGTCATTCCCTACAGAAAAGACATTTCCTGATGATATATTACATCAAGGATAGATTTCCGCAGTGGTCTCTTCTGGATGACCAGTGATTTCTTGTCTGATTTCTCAGTAGGCTGGCAAAGTTTCCAAACCTGCTGCACACTGATGGTGTCAATGCAAGAGATTTCTAAGAACCATTTGACTTTGTGCCACATGACAGTTTAGTCAAGAGCTTCGAAAGTTAACATGGCCTGAATTCAGTGGATTAACAACTGGTTCACTGAGGAGCTTCATAATA